CAGGGTGCCCACTTACATGGCCACACAGTTAAATACCCACAGGGTGCCCCTTACATGGCACACAGTTAAATACCCACAGGGTGCCCACTTCCATGGCCACACAGTTAAATACCCACAGGGTGCCCACTTACATGGCCACACAGTTAAATACCCACAGGGTGCCCACTTACATGGCACATAGTTAAATACCCACAGGGTGCCCACTTCCATGGCCACACAGTTAAATACCCACAGGGTGCCCACTTACATGGCCACAGTTAAATACCCACAGGGTGCCCACTTACATGGCCACACAGTTAAATACCCACAGGGTGCCACTTCCATGGCCACACAGTTAAATACCCACAGGGTGCCCACTTACATGGCCACACAGTTAAATACCCACAGGGTGCCCACTTACACTGGCCACACAGTTAAATATCCACAGGGCACTTCCATGGCCACACAGTTAAATACCCACAGGGTCCCACTTACATGGCCACACAGTTAAATACCCACAGGGTGCCCACTCACATGGCCACACAGTTAAATACCCACAGGGTGCCCACTTCCATGGCCACACAGTTAAATACCCACAGGGTGCCCTTACATGGCCACACAGTTAAATACCCACAGGGTGCCCACTTACATGGCCACACAGTTAAATACCCACAGGGTGCCCACTTCCATGGCCACACAGTTAAATACCCACAGGGTGCCCACTTACATGGCCACAGTTAAATACCCACAGGGTGCCCACTTACATGTACACAGTTAAATACCCACAGGGTGCCCACTTACATGGCCACACAGTTAAATACCCACAGGGTGCCCACTTCCATGGCCACACAGTTAAATACCCACAGGGTGCCCACTTACATGGCCACACAGTTAAATACCCACAGGGTGCCCACTTACATGGCCACACAGTTAAATACCCACAGGGTGCCCACTTACATGGCCACACAGTTAAATACCCACCATGCAGTTCCTGGTTGGTCGAGATCTCCGGAATTTCGGGAACGTTACCAGGAATCTCGATATGAGGATTAAAACACTACAGGTAAAATATTGGAATCCGTGAACGAGTGCTGGGAATATGGTCCGGGAATGAGGGCCGGTTATCATGTCTTAATATTCTCAGGTATCAAAATCCGAAAATAAATTGCTTTAACCGGAAGGAATTTGGGAATGAGAGACGGTTCCTGTTACCATATTCGGGAATGGGAATTTGAGATTATTAAAAAGATTTGGGTTCCTGAAATATTATTCTCCCCCAAAATATTTAAACCCTAACCTAACCTAACCTAACCTAACCTAACCTAACCTAACCTAACCTAAGGGTGTGAGAGTGAGTGCTTTTCCATCTAACCCTCTCTGCCATTCCCTGTACCCTTCCCTCATCCATTCCCCCCTCCCCTCCCCTCCCTTCCCTTGAAACTCAAACAACAGACCCAGATTCCTAAGCTATCCAATCCCTTTAATCCCTCCCCTCCTTCCCTCCCTTCCCCCTTCCCCTTCCCTTCTTATCCCTCCCCTTCCCTTTACAAATCTACATTCTAATCTACCCAGATCCCTCGGACCGCCTCCCCGTCTTTCATCCTTCTTCCTTCAATCACCCCCTTCCCTCCTTCCCCTTCCCTCCTTCCCTTCCCTCACCGAAAGAAAAACCAGGTCAATGAGAATCCCCCCCTCTCTCTCTCTCTCTCCCCCCCTCCCCTTCTTTCTTCCCTTTCCTCTCTCTCTCCCTCCACCTTCTTTCTCCTTCCTTCCCCTCCCCTCCTTCCCCCCTCCCCTCATCTACCCCTTATCATTACGTGCAATTCAAGCAACAGAGGGAGGGAGCTTTTACTTGTATCACCTGTAATATTATGGTCGTGGCTGACGTCAGAGGTGGTGGAGGAGGGATAAGGAGAAGGTTAGATCAGGGGAAAAGTGGAAGAGGAAATAAGAAGGAGGAATATGAGGTATAAAGAGGAGAGGAGAGGAGGAGAATAAAATGTTTAGAGAGAGAGAGAGAGAGATAAGACAGGGCTCAGGATCTCTCGGACTCAACTAAGAGAAACTTTTCTCTTCAGAGTAAATCCTTCAAGAAGAGATGAAGTCTCTCCTTGATCGTGGAGAGCACAGGGAGATAGATGGGTGGAGAGATGAGAGACAGGAGACACAGGAGAGATAGATGGGTGGAGAGATGAGAACAGGAGACACAGGGAGACAGGAGACACAGGGGAGATAGATGGGTGGAGAGATGAGACAGGAGACACAGGGAGAGATAGATGGGTGGAGAGATGAGACAGAGATAGAGGATGTAGAGATTGAGAGACAGTAAGATAGATGGAGAGATGGGTGGAAAGGTTGGGAGACAGAGAGATTGAGAGATAGAGGAGACCCAGAGAGAGAGAGAGATAGAGATAATTTTTATACCACGTCTACCAACCCCGCTATAGTGCCATCAGCCGTTGGTTATACAGCTGGTAAAGTGGTCAAGTAAACTGTGAGGACAACGGTTCGACACACAGCTCTCACCACCATACGTGGCATGTATGTATGTATGTATGTATGTATGTATGTATGTATGTATGTATTCCTCTACAGTATGGAGGGTAAAGTGTAGTTGGTGATGATCTTTGAGTCCAGGTTAATGAGATATATTGCTTATTCAGGTGATATTTGTTGAGTGAGACTGACTAACATGATAACACGTGGGAGGGGGTGTGGTGGAGAAGGGGGTTGTGGTGGAGAAAGGAGGGTCGTGGTGGAGAAGGGAGGGGAGATATGGAGGAGGGGGAGAAAGGAGAAAAAAGAGATAAAGGGAGAAAGAGAAGAAGGGAAAGGAAAGAAAAGGGAAGAGGAAGGAGGAGGAGGAAGAAGAGCAAGAAAAAAGCCGTAACCCCCATCAAATACCCCCTCCCCCTATGGCTCCTACCACCTCAACCATCCATAATATACATCAGGTTACAGCGCCCCAAGAAGCCCCTCATAAAACCTGCAATAATTCTCTACCTTGACGTGTTTACCTGTGACAGTAACTACCCTGACCTGACCCTCGCGTGATTTACCGGTTATGTGACATGATAGGGTGACAGTCATGACCGCACACACACACACACACACACACACACACACACACACCCCTCGGTCAGGTGTATAAATTACCTGTATGTTACCTCTCAGTAATGAGGTAATAAGAATGAGAATAGGGTAAGCTGATTCTTTGTGGGGGTACCTGTCCTTGTATAAAGCGTCATTAACATTTAGCTGTAAATACCTAATAAAATGTTTCATATGACTCTCCTCCCTCCTTTCCCCTCCATCTGTCCTCCCTCCCTCCTCCATCTGTCCCTCCCTCCTCCCTCCCTCCCAGACAGATGAAAATAATGTTGAGTGTTGAATCAAATACTAAATTTAAATTCCTGCAGCTTAAGTCCCTCAAACTTTGTCTTAAAAATAATGGAATGTTGTCTCTCTCACCGACCAACGTTAAGTCCTTCCAAACTTCATTGGAGTAAAAATGTATTAGTTTAGGTTAGATTAGGTTAGGTTAGGTTAGGTCGAGTCAGGTTAGGTTAGGTCAGGTCAGGTTAGGTTGGAGTCAGGTCAGGTCAGGTCAGGTTAGGTTAGGTCAGGTCAGGTCAGGTCATGTCGGGAATACACTAACTGATTTACGTTCATTATGGAGTTGTTGTTGTTTGTTTTGTTTGGTTGGCTCAAAGTTGCCGAATTTAATTAAGTTAAGAGTTAGTGTTAAGATTTGTTGAGGTAAAAGACAGTGGAATTTAGTTTGATTTTGTTGTTATTTTTGGTTCATATTATCATCATCATCATTATCATCACCACATCATCATCATCATCATTAAACTCTCAGCCATCATTGTAACTCTCACCATTATTACCATTATCAAAATTAACATCAATACTGACAATATTAAGTTAGGAATTTACCCTGTAGTCAGTCAGGTTAAAATAACAAAACATCATTAACGATCCTGACCAATGAAACAATGTCTAGCCTGTTGACTGAACGATAAATTTCATAACTTTTCAATTGAAGTTCTTAAGAAAAATGTAATATATGCGTTAAGCCAGAGATCGAGGGTGCTTCATGATGCTTCAATTGAGGCAAGTTTGTAAATGGTGAGGGTTCAGTTCAGGGAGTCGAAATGTGGGTTCGGTATTGTGTTCGAACCTACGTGGGTGTATGTGAGATGTTTGTGTGTGTGTTAGGGAGACGTTAATTGTATGATGTCAGGTACCCTTAGCTGACACTCTGGACTGACTCAAAACCTGGTATGTGATGTCAGGTACTGTTGGCTGACTCTGGACTGATTCAAAAGCCTGGTATATATGATGTCAAGGTACCCTTGGCTGACGCTCTGGGCTGATTCAAAACCTGGTATATGTGATGTCAGGTGCTGTTGGCTGACGCTCTGGGCTGATTCAAAACCTGGTATATGTGATGTCAGGTGCTGTTGGCTGACGCTCTGGACTGACTCAAAACCTGGTATATGTGATGTCAGGTGCTGTTGGCTGACACTGGACTGATTCAAAACCTGGTATATATGATGTCGGTGCTGTTGGTGACGCTCTGGACTGATTCAAAACCTGGTATATGTGATGTCAGGTGCTGTGGCTGACGCTCTGGACTGATTCAAAACCTGGTATATATGATGTCAGGTGCTGTTGGCTGACGCTCTGGACTGATTCAAAACCTGGTATATGTGATGTCAGGTGCTGTTGGCTGACGCTCTGGGCTGATTCAACCTGGTATATATGATGTCAGGTGCTGTTGGCTGACGCTCTGGACTGATTCAAACCTGGTATATGTGATGTCAGGTGCTGTTGGCTGACGCTCTGGGCTGATTCAAAACCTGGTATATGTGATGTCAGGTGCTGTTGGCTGACCTCTGGACTGACTCAAAAGACCTGGTATGTGTTGTCAGGTGCTGTTGGCTGACACTCGGACTGATTCAAAACCTGGTATATATGATGTCAGGTGCTGTTGGCTGACGCTCTGGACTGAT